ACGAACGGGAAGAAAGTTAGCATTCCTTGCTAGACAATTCGTTAAGGAGAATAAATACTTTAGCAGCTGGACTTCCTACGGAAAAATATTGATGAAAAAAGCTCAGGATTCACCCGTAATTCGTATAGAAAATGAAATGGATTTAATCAAACTCGCATCTAATTGACTAGTGGTGGCTAACTTGATAGTAATATTTTTCTATAGCTCATGTTGTTATAATTTGTTTTCTAAATACTATTTGTTTAACACACATATTTCACTCACACATACACTACTCATTGCCAATACCAGTTCACTCTTTTTACACACAATAAAAAATATTCTTCTCATTTACACCTCATATGAAACTCTGAGTTGTTCTCATAATTACATAAGAAAGTTTTATATAATCGTTTACAAATGCAAAACCTTTTCTTGGATAAATAACCAAGATCATACATGCATCCGCCTTCTACGCCACACTGTACCTGGTTCACCATTTAACCAACCTTATTTCACTTGTAAAAATATCATTGATAATTATTATAAATAAAATTCGATAATACACATAAAATAAATAAGGACCTTGATAATTTGGCTATAGCGCAATCCTCTATATGTGATATAGAGGAGTGTGCAACAATAATAAAAAACCCCAAGGCAAGTCTAAAAGTAATTCATCAAAATATCCGTAGTATCAATAAGAACTTTTCAGGTCTTCAAACTCTTCTCAACAGAACAAATACAGACTGGGACCTTATAGTAGTTACTGAATGTTGGTTACGTCATGCGCATTTTTTGATACACTCAATGGATATAGCTATGTAAAAACCGAAAATAACTTAACTCAAAATGAAGGCGTAATGGTTTATTTCAAAAACAAGTTACGAGTTAAAATAGAAGAACCTCAACTACGAGAAGCTAACTGCCTTACTGTTGTGATAGACCATAACACAATTCTAATAGCCATATATAGACCACCTGGTTATAAAAACATCGATCCTTTTATGCAGTCGCTTAGGGACCTTTTATCTAAATTAAACTACGCTAATATTATTATAATGGGAGATATCAACATAGATATAAAGGAATACAATAAAGATGTTAATTCGAACGAATACCTTGATCTATTAGCTTCATTTGGTATTTTACCCGCACATTTGTTTCCTACACATGGAGAAACCTGTTTAGACCATCTCATGCTCAAAACAAAACTACCAGCTTACTGTTATGTAGCAGAGACATCAATCACGGATCATGACTCTCTTATATTTATTTTAGAACACAAAAATCCATGTAATAAGTCAGCTATGAGTAGATCTGCCATAACTAAGAAAATTGACTATAATAAATTGGACATTGATATGGAAAAATTAAATTTAACTGCTATTTACGATACAGATAATGCCAATACGGCAACATCCTTACTAATTAATGAAGTAAAGGATAAAATAACTTCGAATACACAAATTTTTCACGGTCCCAAATCGCAAACGGGTAATCAAGCCTTGGATTACAAGAGGTCTTTTAAAATGTTTAAAAAATAGAGATAAATTACATCAAAAACATAAAAAAAATCCAAACAATGAAATAACTAAAACAATTTACAAAAGGTACAGGAATTTTTGCAATACGTTGCTAAAGCGACTAAAAAGAGATTATGAGAAGGCTCAAATTCATATAGCTTCTAAGACAAGCAACAAATCGCTTTGGGACGCTTTAAAACGAATAACAAACTTAAGAAAGGAACAAAACGCTGCCTCAGACTTAGTCTCCCCTTCCAACCCCCAGAGCTCAGTAAATAGCGTGAATGATTTTTTTGCTTCAATCGGGAGAAACCTAGCAGAGAAAGTACAAACTAGAGATCATAGTAAAATTTCAACCTTACCCACTCAGTCATTTTCATTCTTTATGACATCCACTACCGAATCGGAGGTCAGAGATGTCATATTTAATTTAAAAAAGGGTAACACAACCGGACGTGACAATATCTCTGGGAACTTCCTTAAACGTTATCATATGTTTCTAGTTCCACCGTTGACCCATATTTTTAATCTAATGTTTTCAACTGGTGTTTTTCCCGATAAATTCAAACTTGCTGATGTAATGCCTATTCATAAGGGTGGTGATAGGGGCTGTGTTAATAATTATAGGCCCATATCTATACTTCCGACAATGTCAAAAATAGCGGAGAAGCTCATTAACAGGCGTTTGGTCGATTATCTTGAATCTAAAAATCTAATCGCTAAGTCACAATTTGGTTTTAGAGCTCACAAGTCGACCAGCGATGCTGTTCATGAGCTAACGGATTATATAGTCTCTAAACTAGATAAGAAAAAAAATGTTATTGCAGTATTTTTGGACCTAACGAAGGCTTTTGACACAGTCTCTGCACCACTATTGTTGAGTAAGCTTGATAAAATGGGTATTCGAAATACGCAACTAAGATTGTTCCAAGATTACTTGACAAATAGGCTACAAAGGGTGAGGATCGGAGAATATACCAGTACAGATATACCCATAGCTTATGGAGTACCCCAGGGAAGCGTAATAGGACCAACGCTCTTTCTCGCTTTTATCAATGACTTGTGTAATATGCAGTTAACCAATGGCAAAATTATCACCTACGCCGACGACACTGTATTAATTTTTCATGGTGATTCCTGGCAACAGGCGTATGAATTTGCACAACATGGTTTTGATAAGGTCTATTCCTGGCTCACTAACAACGCTCTAACACTAAATGTAGAAAAAACTAAGTATATTCCTTTCGCTATCCAAAATACAGGTTCGTCTGTACATGAACACCACTATATAGTAGCACACTCTTGTCTAACTGGCCAGGTGTGCTCATGTACTCCAATCACTCGAACATCTAACATTAAGTACTTAGGAGTCATAATTGACAAAAACTTAAGTTTTGACAACCACATCGATCTGCTGTCAGCCAGGACCCGTAAATTAATTTTTATTTTTAAAAACCTAAGACATATAGCCGATAAAAAAGTCATCAAAATGGTGTACTTAGCATTATGCCAATCGATAATAAGCTATTGTATCACTGTATGGGGAGGTGTGTCAAAAACTAAAGTCTTAAAAGTCGAAAGAGCGCAAAGAGCTATTTTAAAGGCCACTTAAACTTTTTGCCATATCGTTTTCCTACCAAAGAGTTATATATTTTGTCCGATGTCCTTACTGTGAGGCAGCTCTTTGTCCTTAGCACTATTTTAAAACAACACTCACTAACCGAATTTGATCCTTCTCTGAACTCATCAAAGCGACTGAAGCACAAAGTCTGTATATCTAAAAATGTGTGGTTCACAAGATTTTCGAATAGATTTTTTGGTTTTCTTGGTCAATATCTTTATAATAAAATTAATCAGAAGGTTAAAATTTACCCCTTGACAAAGTTTAAATGTAAAGAGGCCACTACTGCTTTTCTGAAGGGTCTTAGCTATGATGACACTGAAGAGCTTCTAACTGTTCCTACATAAGAAACTCAGAATATTATTAAATTAAATACGAGTACACATCATAAACACACATTCACACACTTCCACATGCACACACGCACGCACACACACGCACACACATCATAACACATACTCACAAGTTAATATTTATATTTATGTTAAATTATTAGTAAGAGGTACCATTATCCACCTGATCCAGAGTCGGAGAGGCTGGTTATCTGTCATACAGGTCCTCCTAGTGCAGAAGCCAGTCTCTTACATAGATTTATAAGTTAGGTATCTAAATTGTGAATTTGCTTATACCTTACTTTTTACCATTATGTATTTCTATGTGAGAGAACAAATAAAGTATTTTTCTATTCTATTATTTGTACTATTTCTTCGTTATTTGTATGTATAACAATTAATGTTATTTCCAAAATTCATGACAATCAATATACTTTTTGTGGTCCGATTCTCAGGGGGATAAATAACTATTAACTGATACTATATTTTTCATTTAAATTATTTAAATAAACCGTCAGAACAAATTGGTGTCGTTTCTGGCGCTTTTCATTACCTATGTATTAATGACAAGGATACACCGTTGTCAAATTTAAGTTTACCACCTACTTAGTCTCTATATAAAAATAGATATTTAAAGGAAAGGAAGGAGCAATAAAAATATAAGACTTTTATAAAAATTCAAACATCTGTATTTCAATGACAGTTCAAATCAATGATTTAGTCGAAAACAATTTTAACAAAGTACTGCATAAGTAAGTTTAGAATTGATTGGATAAAGCCACAATTTCCAAAATATAATTTCATCATTTTTTCAATGATATAAAATTTGTGAAAAGTAAACGATAATTGCCAATAATGATACAATGCTAACCTTTCTCCAATCAACATTCTACGCAGGGTTACATTCTAGCAGGTCTACACTTAACATTATTCATCAACACCCTTCAGCAATATAAAAGTATTCAAACTGATCACAACGTTATGGCAGTTCCATGGAACCCCATGCAACACTTAACTTACCAACACAGCTTGAGTCAGAAAATATATGACATTTCAATCAGTACACAACTGCTTCTCTATTTAATAATACCAATTACAAAACAAATTTAGTTTCTTATCGTATATAAATAGATCAAAAGAATAATGCGAAACTAACATTATGCGTAGGTGCACTTGCACCTCACAGAAAAAATGTCACATATTACCCTTAACATTTCATATAAAACACTGTCGATTCAATCTTAATTAATGAGATGTGTTTTTTTTCCATTGTTGGTAAAAATGCAAAAACAATCACATAAAACAGACTAGTATCCGAAAACTCCATCAAAATTACATAATTTCTATTTATTGCAAAGGATAGGCCACGAACTGAAGGCTTTATAATAATAATAATAAACTAAGCTCGAATTAAATCGCGGATTTCATAAATCCAAAAATAATAATAATTTTATTCGTCGCCACGGTGACAATAAAGTACATATTACATATTGTAGATCGGCACAACTATCTCAATATAATACATTTTTTTTTATCGACCTATTTCGGTCTCCAGCGGCGCACGCGCACCGCCGCAACATAAAACTCACAAATACTCTACATATCTCGATAAAAACTATTCAGTCGTTTTTATTTATTCATAAAAATATATCTTTAAAAGGCTCAAATAAAACCGTTACAGCTCTACGGGCGCCGGCCCTAGTAACGGCCGGCAACTATCACTGGTGGAATAGTCCTTCGGCACTCGCGCCCCACGCGGCCTTACGTCACTGTCGCCGCCACAGAGTCCTCGGGACTCGCACTACACACGCTATAAATAGAGTCTATATTCCAACGGACGTCCAGCGCACCGATATGCGTCCCCATCGGACTACCGCGAATGCGATCAGTCCATCTATTGCCGTACATTTTTGTTCTCCCAATAAATCTTTCATTATACGTAAATATTATACTTGATACTTTTAAAAACGTTATAAAGTATTTTGTACTATAAATGTAGTGTATTAACCCAGGGGGAATCTTTTTACGAAGCAATAGTTGGACTGACCGGTGGAATGTCCAGACCACGTCCGGGCGAAGGTGGCGAGGACAGTGTGCCTGATGCGAGTTTTAATAGTTTTCGGAAACTACGATCATATAATTTTGTCTGTAGTATTAATTTGACAGCGACGCTTTAGATTCGCCGCTGTAAAGAGGCGAACGCAGTTTTCGAATACTTCAAATCCTCGTACTAGGCACTTTGGAAACTATTTATAGTTTAATAGTTTCGCAACTATTTTATCACTGGGATTGTAGCTGAGATGAGTTGCGAACTAAGGTCACATGTTTGTGCTGTATTCGAGATCCGTTAAGGTTCCGCCGTCAAACGGCGTCTTCTCTCTCTCTCTCTTTCGTAATTTTAAATACGTTACATTGAAAATGTGGATACACAGAAATTCTATTGTCAAACTGCCTTCGGGGGAACGTTAGCGAACCTCGTTTGGTCTGTCCTCTATCGTAAACATTCTTGTCTCATCGCGATTCCCAACACCGCTATGAATCGCCACGACCTGCCGACCCAGTTCGACCCTCGACAAAACACTTAATATTTTACAAATCTTATCTCTTAAACCAGCTAATGTTAAGCTACATTTAAAAGTTCATCTTGTAAAATTTACAAATGACTTAGAAAATTTACAAATCGGGGAGTGTCGAACGCGCCATTTTCGGTGGGGACGTACTTTGTGCGTGTAACGGAACGCTTTGCATACTTAGGCCCGTATTACAGAATATCAACTAAGTGTTGATCTTTACTTGAGTACAGTTAGAAAGGGATGTCGCTATGTGCTTTATATAGCGACATCCCTTTCTATAACTATGCTCAAGACTAGATCAATCACTGAGAATCATTCTATAATATGGGTCTTAGTGTTTCAAGCATTAGTTAACGCTTGGTGGGAGCGGAGTGAGGGAGCGACAAGTGTGAGATGGCGCAGCTAACCGCCTAAAATCCATAGTCCTACCAGAAGTTACTATTTCTATCAAACAATCAAAAGTTCCCCGTGATCCGTTTGGCTCGAAATTGAACTCTCAAACAATGTAGTAAGAATACAATTAAATTGAAGTTGTCGAACGTGAAGGCGGGTAATTATTGTAAAATGTCGACCTACTGGTAGGATTTTGGAGCACAGTAACCACATAAGTAACCTTACTACAAAACTGTTTTAATAAACGTCACTGTTTTCATTTCGCATTATCGATGCAAAAGTGACAGAATCGTCCTCTCTCTATCGTGAAGGGAGAAACGACATTCTCTAGTACGAAGGAGGTCGCTAGTGATGTGTTCTACGCGATAGAAAGGGACAACGCCATAAGACGCGCGTTTACGAGTCGCCGATTCAGTTATAAAAGTCTTTGAAGCTGCAGCACTGTTTGACAGGCAACTCTTGCGCAGACGTCAATTTCGTACATAGAGGCATAAGAATAGAGCGGGGAAGGCGGCTCTAAAAGTGTCCCTCTAGTAGAAAGAGAAAGAAGATGAGACACCGCTAGCTATCTCTTTCTTGTGACGCATGGCATCCAATGGCAACACATCGGAATAGTAAGATGCTTACGGTCGCCAATGCGCATGCGCGATTAGAGAGAGAAAGCTAGCGGTCTCTCATCTTCTTTCTCTTTCTATTAGAGGGACACTTCCAGTTGTAGTAGAGTCTATATCTCCCCAACTCTATTCTTATAACTCTATGATTTCGTAGTAAGTAGTAAGGTAGATTGAGATCGGAGGCTAATGCACTGCTAGTGGTTTGTCGGCGTGCCGACGGCGCAGCAGCTCGGAATCGGCGGGTGGTGAGAGCCCCAGCGGTGTCCCTATTTCGTCTTCCACCGCGTCGGGGCTCGGGTAGCAGGATTTGCTGCAACGTAACGCTGAAGGCGGACGCACCATGTACGAGTAGTTCATGGAGAAGTGCTGCTGGATAACGCGGTTCACCGCCATCGCGGATTCGGCGAAGTTGCTTAGGTTGCGCGCCGACATGTTTCTGTTAAGAAATTTCACTATTAATAATAATATTCTTTAATGACATACACCTCATAGGACATACAAGACATTAAACATGACAGTGAAAACGTACACAATAGGCGGTATTAGTATTTGTTTAGTGTAATTAAACTTTTGTTGGTGAGGGGAGGGGGGGGGGGGGGGGGGGAAGTTTAGCTATTTTTTGTATTTCAGATAAGACTCGATGGCGCGGGTGCTTAGCGCGTTCGGCTGCGATCGTTGAAGTTAAGCAACTTTCGCAGTGGTCGGTCGTTAGATGGGTGACCGAAAATCTTCTATCTCGAGTTCGTCCGTGCTTCGGAAGGCACGTTAAGACGTCGTGGTCCCGGCTGCATCTGCAGTCGCTAGCACCCGCCAATTCGCACCAGGCCCGCGCGGTGGGTCTTGGCCCAATCTCCCCTATTCCTTCTATAGGGAATGCCCCAGCAGTAGCGACATTAATAGGCTGATGATGATGATGATTTGTGTAGTGTTATACGCTTTTGGTAGTTTCCAGCTTTTCAAAAAATATAAGTCTTTTTTGTATGTAAATAAAGTTTAAAATTATTGGCCTGGCCGCGTCGCTGCCGGCCGCTGCCATACCGGTGAGAATTGGTCCCAATGGGGAGTGAAGTGTTTTTCCCTCCTGTATGAGTTAATATCTTCTTAAATTAGTCCCGATTTCGCCCACGCGCCACATGGGGCCATCCATAAAGTACGTCACACGTTAATAGGGAGGGACGGGGTTGACGAAGTGTGACAAGGGGTGAGAGGGGGTACTAAGTTTAGTGACGTCACATTACAAAATCTAATACCTACCTACGTATTAACAAAAATCTTTAAAATACGTACGTTTAATTTTCGGAACTACTATATTAATTTCTACATTCAAAATACCAAAATATGTGACGTCACACTTGGGTGGGGGGAGGGGGGGTGATTGCTCACAAATGTGACCAACTGTTACAAGGACGGGGGAGGGGTAAAAAAATCCCAAAATGAGTGTGACATGATCTGGGTCGCACTTTATCGTTCCATCTGAACCCGGCTAAATTAAGGTGGTCGTTTCGCCGCATGCTATCTAAACGGTTAGACCTACCTTTTAATGTTGGCGGGCGTAAGCAGCGGCAGTTGTCGGGCGCGCGGGTCGGCGCGTCGCAGCCAGGGGTGCTGGAACCCGGCTAAATTAAGGTGGTCGTTTCGCCGCATGCTATCTAAACGGTTAGACCTACCTTTTAATGTTGGCGGGCGTAAGCAGCGGCGGGTGCCGGGCGCGCGGGTCGGCGCGTCGCAGCCAGGGGTGCTGGAACCCGGCTAAATTAAGGTGGTCGTTTCGCCGCATGCTATCTAAACGGTTAGACCTACCTTTTAATGTTGGCGGGCGTAAGCAGTGGCGGGTGCCGGGCGCGCGGGTCGGCGCGTCGCAGCCAGGGGTGCTGGAACCCGGCTAAATTAAGGTGGTCGTTTCGCCGCATGCTATCTAAACGGTTAGACCTACCTTTTAATGTTGGCGGGCGTAAGCAGTGGCGGGTGCCGGGCGCGCGGGTCGGCGCGTCGCAGCCAGGGGTGCTGGAACCCGGCTAAATTAAGGTGGTCGTTTCGCCGCATGCTATCTAAACGGTTAGACCTACCTTTTAATGTTGGCGGGCGTAAGCAGTGGCGGGTGCCGGGCGCGCGGGTCGGCGCGTCGCAGCCAGGGGTGCTGCAGCACTCTCTCAGCGCTCAGTCGGTGCGAAGCCTCGCGGACCAGCAGCTGCCGGATTAGGTCCTTCGCCTCGTACGAGATGTGCGCCCACTCCTCCTCGGGGAAACTGTACCGCCCTTCCTGTACCAAGGCAACGAATACTTATGTTACAAATTTGCTAAAAAAGAACATTTTTTTTTCTTAACTAAAGCTACCTATATCCTTATTTAAACTTAAGCCTCCTTATTCATAAACGAGGAGTAAGTTTAGCTAGCTCAAATGCCATTTGTCATTCAATGAACAGAGACAGAACGTGGAGTAACTAATCCAAGCTTAGTCTTCGTTTATTAATAAGGGGCAGAAGTTATTAAATATCCTATATCTGAACTTCAAAAAAAGTAAAGCTAAACGAACTCTACCACCAAGATCTACATGACTATAAATCTCCGCATCTCTCACACACTTAAAGCTCCATCAGTGGCGTATTTACCCTAGGGCCAAGAGAGCCGTGGCCCGGGGCGGCAGAAGCCATATAAAGGCATTCGTTACTGAATCATATTTTGATTAGATTTCCTAATTATAGTAGGGGGGTGCAACTAATCGCAAGTGGCCCGGGGCGCCAACTTTTAAAATACGCCCCTGAAACTTCATAATGTAAATTTTCCAAGTTTTAAGCACTTAACTCGCATCAGGGTTTTATAATTACCCAAGGCATGCCTTCTTATCACCTTCCAGTAGTGTACACACCTGAATGGAGGTGAAGAGCAGGTCCTGACAAGCGCGACAGTTCTCGCCACGCTCCCAGCCGCAGTCGGTGCCGCAGTCCGCGCGGAATGGCGGGTAGCCGCACAACAAAATGTACGCGATCACGCCGAGCGACCACAGATCGCAGCGTTTGTCGTAGTGCGCCGCCGCCGAGCCCGCGAATAGGGACACCACTTCGGGCGCCATGAATTCCGCGCTGCCAACCTGCGTCAATGGAAAGGCAACGGTCAAAATAACACGCCATATACGACGATAGTATCGTGCGACAAAGGTCCTTATGAAAGTGGAAAAAATTGGAACTAACATCGCCGTCTTTGTAAATGATTGCCCTATTGTACACTTAACTCAAGGCAAGTATATATAAGTATATCATGCTTTCGCATCCTGACAATTTTATTATGTTGTCTGATACAATAAGTTGAGATACAAAATTTGATTTGGAATTTTGTGACACTTCAAACCTACGCCCATCTAAAAATCATCCAAAAAAACTATTTTTTCCCAAAATCTGGGACTAATATTCGCTACAAATCTCTTAATTATTTTTATTTCAATTTGCTTAGTTGTCTCGCATCATACAATCGCTATTGTATCCTTCAATTGACATTGGTGATAAAACAGTAAGGGGCCATTGTGTCACCAGTGGTCATTTATCACTGTAACTATAAAATTGACAATCAGTGTACAGTGTAGGTACATCCGTCACTTGTTTCAGAAGACAGCAGCCCAAATCAACTCTGTCGTAATTTCAATGTAGTGACTGCCGGTATATTTTTGGCTATGTTAACTTTTTCAAGAATCTTTTTAAAAAAACATCAAAGTAAATTTTCAGCAAAATTGCCGCGTTTTAAAGATGATGAGTCAGCCATTGCTCATACGAAAAAAACATTTTCCACAATTGGAAATATCTTCATGAACAATGAACCTATTGATCAATTTAAAATAAGTCTAAAGTCCATGTAATACAGTTCATTACGCATAGTATTTGTATTTCGCTATTTAGTATGCTCAGGTGGTTTTAATGCTACGCTGTACGGTTGATGTGTTTGCACAGTATTTTCCATATAAACAAAGTCTCATTATCTCAACAAAAGTAAATATATAGATGACAATACACTAAATTAGATTTAAGGGAGACATTTTGAATAAGTCAATGTTTGCATTTTTTTTGCATTAAGTAGATAGCTACTAGTCTTGAAATGAAAATTTTAATACCCACAAACAATTGAAACGTGAGAAAGGTATCTTTATAACAATAGCAAATAAAAATAATGAATGTAAAGTTTAATTCATTGAGGTGATATATTGTTGTATGATTTGTAAGAATGTAAAGGTATGCATCCTGGAAAACTTTTCGAGCATCGACCATAGACAAGGATAGCTGCGCTGTACCAGTTTTGCATAGCAAAACGTCCACTGCGCAAGTTTATTTGTCTGTGGTTATGCTCAAAAAATTTGCCGCTAGGTACTTTTATATCGACTTCTTTCTTTACCTAATAAAGTTAAGAAATTGGGCGTAGCTTGTTAAATAACGTGGTCTGAAATTCAACGTAACCCAATAGATTAACTGGGATTATAATACGGTGATCAGCGCGTTAAGTCGTTACGAACGTACTTTTACGACATAAGCTGGTTATGCGAGAAATGGTTATTTGGACCAGTCGGACTTAATCACATGCATAGACAATCTCATTAAAGCGCTTCGGAACGTTATAAAAATGTTAATTAAATTTGTGGTCCGAGGCTTATTTAAAAGTAGGTATGGTTATTACTTTAGTGCGTATTATGCGAATCAGAAAACATGATAATACCATAACAATAAAAATCGACAAATAGCTAAAATTCGTCAAATGATTGCTTGTGATTGAGATTCCAAATTAGCATTGTTTTAATTAAAATATTCTATGTCTTGTGGGTGTGAATGTGATGCTGGATAATAATAAGTATTAAATTTAACAGTGAGTAAGTTATTAACACGCGTATCCATTAAGACTATTTCTGAAAAGTTTCCTAAGAAACAAACATTCAGATATTTAAACGAGTGATTAAAAATGTGTTCAATGTATTCTGATCTGAAGATCATTCAATTACAAGCCAAAGCGAAGCGAAGAAGCTAGAAAAAGTCTACACCAAAAACAAAACACTGACTGACGATTTGAGAACCTTTTTTGAAGTCTGTTAAAAACCAAGTGCGTACTCACCGGTGTCATGAGCTGAGGCGTGGCCAGCGGACTAGCGAGGCTCGACGTGAAACTAATGCCGCTGCCCAGATCAAAATCGCAGATCTTCACGGGGCACAGGCGGTCTGTGTGCACGCACAGAATGTTCTCGGGCTTGAGGTCCCGGTGGGCGACGCCCTTGCCGTGCAGGAAATGCAAGGCGTTCGCCAGCTCGCGCACTATCTCCGCCGCCTGCGGTTCGGAGAAGTAGTGGTGCTCCTGTATGCGCGATAAAAGCTGACCGCCGTTGATCTGGTGACAAACAAAAGACAATCACGCGTTTGCTTGGGGAATAGATTCTAGTGTGTGCTGCGTGGATTCTAGGCGATAAATAAGAAGTTAACACCCTGTAAGTGACGGTCAGGAGTTTGTTTTTTTTATAGACGAATTCCAGACAATGCTTCTGTATACGCGACAGGAGTTGCCCGCCGTTGTGTTAACAACAAACAAAGGACAATTACGCGTTTGTTTGGAGAATAGTATCTAGTGCGTGCTGCGTGGATTCTAGTCCAGACGATAAATGAGAAGTAAACACCCTTGAACTTTAAAGTGATGGACACTCCTCTTATGAAGCATAGTAAAATAAGTAGAAAAAGTCGGCCTTATAGTGATTGAGCAATCGAGCATAATCTTTGGTTGAATTCTTGAGAACATCAATGAAGGGTTAAAATATTTGGGAATTACTGAGTATACCATCCAGATATGATTATTTAGAAGTAGTAACAAATGTCTGTAGACCAGGTTGATGAAATAAAAATGTTTTGCTTCAATAAAAAAAAAACGAGAGAGCCTCACAGTAGTCGCGTATGATGTGTAACATTTGAAACCTCACCTTATATTAGTAAAAAATGAAAATAAAATCTACTACAAAAGGAATAAGCCATTTGAACATTATGTTCTAAAATAAAATCAAATAGCGCGCGATTTCCAAACTTCCTGTTACACACTTCCATCCCATTTCACGACTTCACTCCCACAAATTGCAGGAACGCGAGAGGAAAGATGTAACACGTCAAAAACGAATTTGTGACGGCTATTTAAAATTAAGACGGTCGTAATTTTAATCAATATAAAAATGCGTATTACATTTTAACTACAATAAAGAAATCACGATTTACAAACATTCCTTTGATGTATATTAAGTTTAATAATGCACTGAACTGATTAAAGTGGAATTATAGGACAAACGAATGTTTACTTTGATGCGTCTGATTCATGTGAATATTTATGTATTTACGCGCCAGACCAGACAAGTCACGGTGCTTATCGCTAATCAAATAAATTCCATATATAGTAATTACGCATCATCTTTGGACAGTTTTTTTAGTAACTTTAAAAAAAATATTAAACTGAAATGAACATACCTACATACTGGTGTCGATTCTGGTATGATTATCTAAACCTAAACTTAAATTTGACAACAGTCTTTGTCATTCTCTATACAGAATGAAAAGGAGAGACTGATCTTAAATTTAGTTTTAAGTTTAGAGAATCATGCCAGAATTGACAACACTAAATAGATAAATTATTTGAAATGTAAATTAACGTTATTGAAAACTTTAAATAAAAGATATGCGTAAATACTTGAGTACAATATAAACTAAAAATAAATATGGAAAATATTGAAGTCAATTCATCATATATTAATGCATGATGCAACACCATCGATCTTTCGCGAAAGTCTATGTTGACTATTAAACGCGTGTAATTTATGAGTAATGGTTTATTTGAACACAACATAAAGAAATGCCCAGTGTGACCAGATTCAGTATTTTAATACTTTTTCAGTATATTTCATTGATTTTTCCGAACATCAGTATATTTTCAGGTATATTGCTGGCAGTCAGTATTTTTGGGTATATTTTGGTAGAAGTTATGGCAACACCGTAGTGAGTGATCGTCTTTGCGACAATGTTTGCGGAATTCCCCGGAACGCGAACATTGGGGACTTCCCCGGATTTAGTTTACCTATACTTAAACATGTTATCTATGAGTAAGTTACAGATATGACAAGAAAGACGGCCGTTGTCGGCGTTGTAGTATTGTAATACTACATATACAATTATCAATCAATACATAGTATTAATCAGACTTGCAGAATGTATGTTCGCCTTAAACTTTACAACTGCTGGACCGATTTTAATGCGGTTTGCACTATTAGATAGAGCGTGAAGAAATGAAGGAGGTTGTGTAAATTTTAATCCTTCGAAAAGGATGTTAAAATATAACTCTAACATTTATTGTGAGTACGTATAAATAAATAAAATGTTTTAAGAAAATCAGTATTTCTATTGGTATATCTGTCCTATGTAAGTCGGTATATTTCAGTATTTTTTTGAGGTGCCTCGGTATTTTCGTAAAATTTAATCTGGTCACACTGGAAATGCCATCGACATTCGTCAGGTAAGAAATAATAGCACAATTTAACGTACCATGGCGTAGATAATTTGTAACATGAAAACATTAATGTTGAGAAAAAAACAAATATAAAAATGTATTTTTAAATAACTATTCATCACGTTGATATTTTACATATTACAAAGTCATTGTTGTGAATAATTATTCACAAATTGGGTGGTAGTGTTATTTTTTTACATTGCTGTTGATAATATATGTTTTTCAAAACCTACTAAAATGTCCTTCAACCTCTATTATATATTATATCCAACTATAAAGGTAAGGAAAGGAAGCAAAATAAATACATACTACAAATTGAAACGTGCCACATTACATCATATCTTAGCGAGTGTCTGTCTGTTACCTTTATTATCACTTTTGTTTTGAGATAAATTCAGTAGCGATAATCATAATTATCACGAACAATTATCTTAACTGAGAAGCTATGGCTATTTCACAAACCTATGGGCAATGGACGTACATTATAATACAATAAGAGTACACGTGAAGCCGTTGGTACCGGCTGCACCAACAGTCGTCGGCACCCATTACGGGCCTAGGTGGTGGACCATGCAAAGCACATACTCCTTATTCAATCCAAAGGGATAGCTGAGGTACACCTCAGCAATGATATAAAAAAGCTGATAATGATAAAGCTCACCTTTTCGAAGACAAGATAAAACTTGTCGGTGTCCTCAAAGAATTCAATGAGCTGGATTATGTTCGGGTGTCCCTGGCAGTAGTGGAAGGTCTCCACCTCGCGGAACACCCGGGCACGGGCGTGCCCCGGTACCTTGTCAATGATCTTCACCGCAAACTCCTGCTCCGTGTAGATGTTCACGCATGTCTGCACCGAGGCGTACGCGCCCTCGCCGAGTACCTCGCCCGTCAATTTGTACAGATCTGTTGACAATCACAATGTTTTTGAGTGAAGCTTCTATATAGACTTCTATAGGGGAGTATTAAGATTTTGCTATCACGAAAAGAACGTTACGGCTGCGTGGATGGGGCAGACAATATTTCGCGCGGTGAGAGGCGGCAGTGTCCGTTGAAGTTTCACTTCTACTGTGTCCCAGTACACATTTTTGTTTCTTTTTTCATATAACTAGGTAGGACTCTACCCCACCTGATCTTAAGCAGTGGCAAAGTCCAGAAGCAAAGATAGCTGATAGCAGTTCAATTGTGCTCTTTGTACATTTGTAATATCTGCAAAGGTCAAGAAAGTCTCAAAGGTTCATAATCTTTTCTAATATTAACTTCTAAAGGAATAACAAATCTCATTTATTATATACATTACCTAGCTATAATATTTTCATTTAAATGACGTATGTAAGCAACAAACAAATCATTATCAGCTGCTTTTAGCTCAGAAGCATCATAATACTTCCTGACAATTCCAGATGTAAATATAGCAATCATCTGATATAAACCAGCCAGAGCGGAGCACTACATATTGACCTTGACAAAACGAGACACAGCCACCGTTCTTCGGCATGTTATCAGTGTTTGTTAAAATTAAGTTCGATTTCAAGAGCTCTCTATAAATAGGCTAGGCTCGCATTAAAATTAAACCTCTGTGTTGAGCCTATACATGTTATGGACATAGTTATGAACTCATGCTTTCAATATAGTTTAAACTAAGTATCTCACTTAACTACACTCATTAAATAGGGTATACTTTACATTGGTCGATTGAGTAAATATAATAATAAGAACAAGGTTTAGTTATTTGGCGAAGTTTTTTTTTCTTATACTTAATTTACTCAGGAATCGTCATGTTGATTTTCTTTATGAGATAGGTTTTTATTTCGGAATGACAATTCAATCAGGCGACATTAGCAACACAAGTCACGAAGATACTATGATGATGAGACATTCAGATACCTCTTTCTGTGTTCTGTTCAAGGACCCAAGCACGAATTTTGACAGAAAAAGTAAAGAATTTTTTCTAGTTATATTTTCTTTAGAAAAAGTCAGTTTGTTCTTACGTCCGGTAAGGCGCTTAGTTTTCATCAAAACTTTGGTGATGAGATACGATTACAGAGCTGTCAAAATTCGTGCTCGAGCCTCAGGTCTTTTACTATTAGTAGCAAAAAACGAGCCAGTGTAATTGACTTTCATAAGTTCTTTAATCGATGTCCACTTTGCCTTTGATACCTAGTGTCCTAAGATGTGTGATTGTGTGTACCTTGGAAACATGATGTGACCACGGAGCTGCCCGAGCGCTTCTTCCTGCGGCGCTTCCTGCGCGCCTCCTCCTTGCGACGCTGCAGGTCCTCGCTGTCGGGGATGGGGACTGGGGCAGAGGGTTCCACCACCCGCGGGATCTCGTCCGACTCCCGCTCGCTGCCCGACTGGCTGCTGCAGCGACCGACTCCTGTTACAATATCAAAGGGTTTATTTAAATATTAACTTGGCTTGTGTTCAAAATGCATTAAACGATATTTTCTTCTTTTATAATGTAGAAAGCAAAGGAAAAGGTCAAATTAGACAGCGGCAACCATACCCTACAGATTTTTATTCTTAAGAAGTTATGTACAGTTACAAGTATTCCGGGAAACCGATTGAATAATCGTCAAAGTTAATAAACTTTCGTGTTATGTATGACGTTGGAAAGTGTGAGCATAAACATTTTTGACAAATATGAACTGACATCCCCTGTCTTAACTACGAAGCATGAATAACGCAAACCATTACGTATGCAACGCCAGTCCACAATAACAGTGGCAGAGCGAGGCCCATGTCGACAGCTCTCACTTCAGTTTTGGTGCCAGACTATTGTTGAAGCGTTTTCTCCATGTAGGGTTTTAAATTATGCTCGCAAACGTTACAGTCGCCACGCAGATTGGTAAACATGGTAATAAAGGAACAAACAGATTTTAATGAGTTCAGTGGCAGCTCAATTGCTTTTATCTTCGAGCTGTTTGGCAAAACTGTAACGAATGGATTTCTGTACAAAATGGGGAACGATACCCTTTAAAATGTCATTCAGTAAGTCACAGCGTTGATAATGCTATTCAGGCGAGATGCGTGTGCAAGCTGAGTTGGCAAACAAAGCCGGTTGAACGACCTACATGGCCGCACCCACCGCTGCGCGTACGCAGCTCCGCGCCCACGTTACGCGACCGTTCGGTTGCTCGCCTTAAAAAAAGTTTGTCTATTGCTAGTTTGTATCTTGCGTTCTTTAATATGCTGCTACAAGAACACGTTAAAGATTATAAGCCAGTTCATGTTATCTGATATAAACACAAGAACGTCATGCCGGATTAAAAGCTTTGTTTTATCACGTCCGAGAAACTTCATTGTTCAAGGTACGTAAACGTTTTAAGCGATATCATTGAACTTACAAGTTAGAATGTGCCAATGCTTATGTGAATAGTTAATACGCATGTTTAATATTAAATGGAATTAATTGAACAATCACTCTGCGAGACTACGAGAAAAACGAATGGTGCGTAAAGTTTGCATGTAGGCGAGTACCTGACTAAGTATATTCTCCAAGTTGGTGACAAGCGAAATTCAGAGTCAATTAACACGCGATGACCTCAGTACAGGAGGGTTAGCAACAAGCAAATAAATGCGCAATAGTTGAACGACTGTAACAATCGGGGATCGTGTCACACCCACGTTTGCAATCACCCGTTTCAACACGTTCTTCCTGTTTACATACTTAATTAATTATACTATATTCACGCTTTAAAATGTAATTAAGCCACACCGAGTTTGTTTATAAACAATGTTTACTCATTCGGATTTCAAACAAAGGCAAATTCAACGATACGGGCAAACTACTTTAATGGTCACGATATGAGGATTATGCAATTGAGTCATCGATCGCTCGATATGTGCCTAACCTCAGTTTGGGGTTTCAATGAAATCGCCCACAGCCTTGGTTAAACATAAGAATTTCAAAACGTCTATAGTTCTAATATATCTATTCTTGATTATGCTGACGTCTGCTATCTTGGTGGCACGGAAGACTAGCATAATAAGTTTGAGCGACTTGAAAACTTTTATGTTTTCTATTCGAATATATAATTTAAAATATGAATATAATAAAATAAGTAACCTTGTACTATAGTGCTTAAACAACTGTATCATATTATCGTGTGACACGGCGCACGAGTTCCACGTGGCACTACACTCTGCAGCCAACGTGGATGGTTATGTAAAACTCCCCCGAGACAACCTCGCAAATAACAAGCTCGTACAAACACCTCAAGAAACAGCTGAAGTTCGACATTCGTTCGAGGCCTTGGTGGAAACAATGGTTGACCCAATAAAACTGTACGCTAAGTAATCCAGTAAAGAACAAAGAGAAACAACTACCTACCTAGGTATTTATTTACAAAGATAATATTAAGAATGATTAGGAATTGATACCAATAATTAATTTATCAATCATCCTCATTATAAACCGAGAATTATAGATTCAGAAGAATATCAACAATGGCTGTGGCTTTACTGCTACTACATTATTTTCCGAAAATCAAAACAAAGTATTACAAGAAACTTAATTCGTACCTACATAATACAACATTTTTTTACCATTAACATAGGTACCTATAAAGTAATCAACTAATAGTAACTTGTTCAGTACCGTCAATCCTTACATTACAATGCACTACTTACGGTAGTGCAAAGAAGTTAAAATGAATCAAGGTTTTTTGTGATTTTCGTACATTCAATCCATGTTTTGTGTAAATTTTATCTAGGGTGATGACTAAATACCCTAAACTCTATTGGACTTCCTTTGAGAAAAAAGGTAAACAAATAAACTGGTTCTAAAACTTTTTATAGATAGTAAAAATGGCCGGTGTAATCAGACCGATTACAAAATTTCAGATTTCAACGTAATTATTTGCCTCATCACTACTCCACAATTAAGTAGTATTATAATGCGTTCAAAGTTTGGGAAGCGCTATATTACGACCGATTCGCCCTTTTGAAAAACCCTTTTATGGTTTGTTTACTTTTTGTCATAGAGGAATTTGAATAGAGTATAAATAATACTGATGCAGTTTAGTTCTTTATACTAAGCCGCAATTGCAGTATTCGTGCCCTTAGCCTGAGGTTTCTACTTTCTAATCTGGTCGTTTGGTATTAACGCTTGAACACGAATGCACTCTCTACAAACTGATCGTAAGCCCATTACACTTTTGTCTTATACCCCTAAGCTGATGCGATATAATTTACTTTCTATTTGCATAAATACCCTTAGCCGTTCACTTTCTGATCTGCAATTGCAGCGTGATCATCAGCCTGGTCGTTGAAATATGTAATTGACAATATTTATTTACGCTTTGCACTATAAAGTTTTTCCTACAAAAGATTGATAATACTTTTAGTATCTAAGTATTAGGCTGCGATTTCAGCGAGTGAACATATTAAAGAACAGGTATAACAAATGTAAAAGTTGTTGAGCTCAATACTACGTCAAAATTCAGAACAGCTTAATGTCATAATTATTATCCCCAAAGAGCAAAGTTGAAAGCTAGAAGTGGAGCCAGAACTAGGTGCATTAAATAAATTGCCAAGTCGATCTGGCACTCGTATCGGACTCGGACCCGATAATATCTTGGTGAAATTTCAATCAGGGCTTTGAAACTGTAGCACACTTATGTATGAATACGCAACAACTTTCACTCTTCGCATAAACATTTTAAAGTTGTACGTACCTATTACTAAAATATAACCCGAATTCCCATAAACAGACCGTGGACACCTGAATAATTTCTTAATTATTTTCAAATTTTACATATCATTTTCTATGCAAGGTGGAATAGAATCAAGCAAGAGTATAAAAACTTTGTTTTGACGAACCTGATAACATTCGTGACGTAATCTGTGATTATCTGGTAAGTAAAGATGATTATGTTTTTATATATCCAGTACATCATAAAGAACAAGAACACACACAGCACTAACGTGAAAGTTGTGGAAAGGTTTGCAACAACGCATTTTAGGCACAACAAAAATCGATTGCTAAACTGAGACGCAGTAAGCTAGGGAGAGGGGCCCCAAAACACTGTATAAGGTACTATGTACTAGGTGCCTATAGTCTTAGCGGAACGGGCATTTAAGTCGTCATGGTCAAGGTTATCACGATTGATATGAACCAATGATTTTTAATCAACTTTGATTAAACACTAACACACAGATATAGTGTACAGTTAAAGTTTATTTAGTGTCAAATCTTCCCTAGTTTTATTAAATGCAGATGATGTCAAACTTTTTTCCAAAACCAACAAGGAAGATCTACGTGAAAGCTAATTTAATTACTTATTTATTTGGGCAGCTTTCGACCCTATTAGTACGATTACAATGAATATTTTAACAATATCGCATTAAGATTATATCCGCTAACATAACATGTTTTCCTTATATTATGAGGTATTATATGAACGAAATGTGGTAGCTACTCCAATGCGCAATAGTTTTAGTGGGTGACCTTGACAATGAACGCTGGGGCGTCGCGCTTCAGCGGCCATGTTGAAAATACCAAAGAGAATATGAAATTGCATTTAATTATCAACGCATTCCTATCGTCCTTACTCAATTTCTCATAACAAAGTTTTATGTAACCTTCCATAATTTCTCCATAACCGTTAACTTTTGAAGAAAGTAACATAGTACAGCAAAAAATACATTTCAAAACTTTGCTGGAAATAACTTGACGTTAAGGGAAGTGCAAATTGTAAAAGAAAATTTGAATGAATTTTATCATATACTAGTAGCTGAACAGCGTTTTGAAATGCTATCGTGACAAGGAATTATTTCCAAGCATCCTACCCGCATTTCGAATTGATAAACATTGTCGTGGATTCGCCGGATGTTCCTAAAGGCTTATGTTTCTAATCAGCTTTCCCGACGGTGAAACAATGTCAATTAGAAGAGCATGTTGAACAGTATTATTGCGAAATTGCACACTCATGAACTTTTGTATTGGTCAATGTCCGTTTACCGGGGTTGTTATTTGAAACAAACGTATCAAATTCTCAACAGTCAGTCGTTATACTCGTAATAAACATATGACAGTTATCTTACTTACATTACAGCATAACGAGGAATGTAATGAAATCTCTGTCAAGAATCTAATATGAAAGAAACTGAAAATAATCAACTTTAACGACAATAACGTCTAGTCATGAGTCATTAAAATTGAAAAGTACGAGTTACATGTTGAGGTTGGTCAGTATAACATAGTATAAATAAATCTCCATTTAGAATGAACTGAACTACCCACTTCCCAGCTAATGACTAAGATAGAACATAGTATCACCGATTTGCATACACCAAGGTTTTTGAGGAAATCTTGCATTTATTTCTTCACTATTTTACCATAAATATTTGGATGCAAAGGCAACAAGAGATCAAATGTGCGGATTATCTCGACGATCTTATATGTAATGTACAGGCAAAAATTATCATGTCACAAATATGAGAAGTTTTTCGAAGATGTTTAAACAGCGCTGCCGACTTAATATAGATAATGATGACATCATGCAAAATCTAGTTAAAGGTTTACATAGGTAAAATCGTATAAGACAACTAGTAAGAATTAAAGTGTTTTAATGAATTTAGTTTTATCCATTTCAATGTAGAAAATTTACCAATACCCAAAACTACTTTCATTGAACATGATTCTAGCATTAAAGCAACAGTTACTACGCAGTGGATATAAAAAAACCATTCAGACGAATCAGGTGATATACTAAATGTAGACAAGTGAAGACGATTGAAAGAGTAAGTTATCGCGACAAAATATTAATATGTACAAATTTGGCTTACCACTATCTACGCTCTCTTCTGAAACCTTCTTCACCATCTTGATAACTGCCTGATGAGTTGATGCAGCAATATTGAAAAATTTCGAGTAGGTGTTACTACTCTTAAAAGCCGCTTTCAAACTTGTGCGGCCGCCTTCTCGACTTGAAATCGGGACGACGTTTATTAAGGTAAGATAGAAAATAAACGTCAAATTAAAATAAAAAGCACCACCGTCGAGAAGGATTTACGGAAAGTGTGCCAGAAGGTAATAAACAAACACTGTTAGAAGGCGGAATGAAAAAAACTGCTGATGTTGCTAACGATCCATCCTACACACGCCCGCCCGTCTGATGTTCTAAAATCCAACTGAGGACTGGAGGAGTAGCGGCCGCGAAGCCGGCTCGACCGGCGCACGTACACAGTCCCCTTCAGCCCTCATGCCCCCCGCCGGTCGTGATAGCTGCTGTTCAGTTGTGCGTCGTTCCTTGTGGCCTCTCACACCAGCGCATGCGTACTCACTCACTCTGCTAGCTGACGTGTTTATATTTTTTGCCGTCTATTTTTTTAACACTCGGATGTTATTGGTCCCTCAGAATCTTCCTGTATTACGCAAATGATGTTAGTTTTACGAACAAGAAAGTCATCCTGCATTTAAATTGCAGTTATAATGAACAGTTGCCATGTCATCACAACTTTCGTTTCTCATTCTTTCTCTCATAGCAACAGTAGAAAGACACACTTATACAAAAATAAACATTACTACTTAACTAAAAACTAACAATAGTATTCAGTATTCATAGATGAAGTCCAATTTGGGTCTAATAGGAATATGGAAGAAATTTAATAACTCATTAAACCTATATTATTATTACTGAAAGTAATAAGATTTATATATGAAATGAATAAGACTTAAAAATATTATGAATTCAATTAATCAAAAATTCCAAATAAAACTCATAATGATTCCAAAGTTATTAATACCAACAAGATCACACAAGAACAAAGGATATTTTGAAGGAAGCTCCTGCCTGCCTACTATTACATCACCTTTCCAAAATATTTGATAGTGGATCAAAAAAAGAAAGGTTAGGTAAATTGTTGAGTATTCTTAAAATAATGTTCATCAGCATAACTGCCCACAGGACTCCTTTGTCTTTTTATCCTCCAATGAATGACCTTCACAGGGTTTTGTTGACAAACAAAATCCAGGACATAACGACGACGCAAAACGCACGTGGTATGAGCCAACCAGTCCAACCGGCAGCCGGCGCCGCCATGTTTGTTGTCACGCCACTCTTCCATCTCTCTCGCGCTTACTTTCCGTCCCACTCTACGGTCGTACGTGACTGACAACAACAATAATATAATAACCCTTCCCATATGAAACGCAAGTCGGCTCAAAGCAATGTTTTATACTGAAATTTTCACCGCGTTTACTAATATTTTGAACTGGATCAAAAAGATTTTAACCTCCATTACAACTAAAATGAAAATAGGTACTTATTCTATTGTATCAGTCAGAAATAGCAATAAATTACCACATACAGGCAACATTATTATTTATATAGAATGAATCGGAATATTTTCAAATTATTTATTAGTTAAACATGGAAACTGTTCTATCCATTTGCTTATGATGCGCAGTGCGCATGTTTGCATGGGCCATTGATGGGTTTCTCTTACAGATAGATCACTTTCCATTTTTAAAGAAGTGCAAATGTTTATACCTTTTTTACTTCTAGTCCCGTTGAAATTTCTAAGAATAGTTTTACAATTTCTGGTAGGACAAGTGTTTCATTGATGAAATTTTGCTACGTTAGAAACAGTTAAGTATCTACCTGGTCTACATTGTTAAAAGCTAAAAGATGTTTATTTAATCCTTTTTCGAGGCTTGTGTAAAGTATCGATAATGTGCGTTTTCTCTCCTGGTCACGTTGTATAAACAGGGACGTGTATTTCTTTGTTCTGAAGCCGCTCCCGAATCTCTAATCGAGGAGCAACAAAGGCATCATACTCAAATGCTTTGTGATGTTTATTGATCATGCAATGTTTGAATTTATCAACAAGATAAGTTCTAAAAATCTTTTAAAATTTTGTAAGTGTTTGAGAACTACTATAATACCTATTCTAATTTAAACACACGCTATAAACAATTTAGACAGACCTTTTTTCAAAAGACTTCTAACTATGGCATCGATATATTCATCGTCTTCCATGATGTGGATTCCTGGAACAACAAAAATACTAAGTCATAATCAAATCTGATAATAATTGTCAAATATAACTCCAGTCCCTATGCAAACTAATCAATAAGAGCGGTTTGCGTTTTGCGTCACGTAGCCACATCACAAAGCACTGACATAACAGGCGCTGTTTCCAATCCCAAGGGAGCGTTTTTATAGCCAGCTATAAAATTCTTTATCCACAATAATTTATATAGTTAGTTAGACCCGCACGTATAAGTTTAAAAAAATGTCAGACTAAAATCCTACTAGCAAGGTTCATTTTAGAAGACTCAAATTACAAAAGCTCATTCCCGCTACGTGTACACACATAGAAGAAGTTGCACCGGGGTATTCCCGCAGAGAAATTTTTTCGTGTATTCTTTGTGGCCATATGTTGAGAATTTTATACGAATTTTGATTTGGGTAAGATTCAAGCCAGGTAGCGTAGTCTTAAAGAAACTGCACCTGATATGTATTAACAAAGAATTCAATGGATTTATCGAACGTTTTAAAGGATTATAGGTAGAGTTTTAAACCTGTATGTAGTTAGGTATGAGGTATTGTGGCTATACTGTCCTTTGTATGACTTTTATAATGCGCCTTAAATTATTTTAGAAAACAGTACCAACAAATCCAAGGTCCTGTTATGCCAAAATTTGTACACCGTTTACGTAATTCACAATTTATCAATGCTTAGCAAGTTTACTCTAAAATCCTGATGTGAAATGTCAACACACGACCAAGATAACATTCGAACGTATGTAAAAACATACCGAGTGCCACACTTAATAAAAATAATATATGTATTAGTAATATAAAGATTTCGTATCTGAAATCATAACAGGATCTTCTCCAACTAGTGGGTCCCATAACTTCGTCTACGTTCTGAGTAAAATAATAAGTTGTTCATAGAATTTTTTAAACTCTGTTTCACCCCTTCAAGTCTTATTATTCGATAAAAAGTAGTTCACTCCTCCAGCTCCCCTTATTCTGCATACCAAATTCGTCAAAATCGGTTCATCGTGACTTTGATCAAAATTAATATTTATTTATTTATTTGGATTTGGAAAACATACAATTTTACACAAATCAATTAAATGACACTTATTTTTATAAAATAAACCAGTGGTTTCCACAGACTGAAATATCTATACACTTACATAATTTAGACGAACATAAATAATTTATAGGAATGACCTTACATTTTTTCCTACCTTTTTTCTACCATAGATTAAGTTCAAAATTTATTCTCTAACTGATGAGTAAGGATATTCTCCTAGGCTGATTAAAAATGGTTCCATTATCAAAATGGTAATGGATAATAAAGAAAATTATGCCCGAAGGATAAGTATAGATTAGTCAGAAATGAGGCGAGATGTCCGAGGGTGCTCCCTATCTTCTGTATCCCAATTAAAGTAAGAGGTGGAAGCCAAATTACACTAAGATATTTAATAGTTCGCCACAATACTAGATTCACATAATATTAAGAACATCGAGCGATCCTTTTATTTCTTTGCTCAAACTGATTCTATACTTCTTGTTGTGTTAGCTAGCTATTGGTTTGTTGTTCTGTATGACTTACATGTTGTAAAAGTTATTAGCAATGATAAAAATATGCTTTCTCTATTGGAGAATCGATTTTCCTCAATTGTTGTGTAGGTGTTCTATGGCTACCCGAGCCAAGGTTACACAAAATATATTAGCAATGCTGATGTGAACTTTTTGCGTTGTTCTCTTCGGTAATGTTTTATACATGCGAGGCTCAAAGCGGTTGTCAGTGTCGACAACCTCTCCAAGTATATTTCAAACATGTACATATAAATATCTACTTTAAAAGACACGAGATTATCTGTCAAAGGAAAAACACATCGTCATAAGTATTCCTATTTTTATACCACTTCTTATAAACTTCGGAAGTTATGTATATATTTTACTAGAAAAAAATGTTTGTACATCAGACATCAGTACATCAGAATCCTTAAATTGAATATTTTATATACAATCTCCTTGTTTTCGAATTAAGGAAAGTATACAATTTGTGAATGAAGGTTCTCTATATTGTTTTTCTTTTGGTACAAAAGAATTAAAATTATAAAGCTCGTAGCACAACTCATATGATTTATTACCTTATGAAATAGTCAAATTATTTCTCCAGACTAATAGGCTTACGTTTTTATCCTTCCAAGCTTAACATAGCAAAACTATGTCTAATACAAAACTCGTTCCGATGATGTCATCCGCACACAGTTCGCGCTGTATGTATTCAGCGTTACTACCTAAGCTTCCCATGTTCTTATGCATACAACTGTAATAAACATAAAGCCTTCTACAGTATGTATAAATATATGTATCTGTACTTCTGGAAAGTTCCATGGTGGATACTATGTGTTTTTGAAATTTAAATCAAATGTTCTTTTAGCATCTCATATTGATTGCCGAGTCGCAGCTCATTATAAAAGGAAATGAATCGCACCCGGCGAAGATCCAGTTATGGCGCGGAAAACTTAATAGCTGGAGTGGTAAACAAGTTTTTTTGTAAGATCACTGCGGATTTATAAAGACCAATTGAAGCTTATCGTCTGATCGGTCACGTTTCGATCTCGGTCAAGGATGAATGCTTTTTAAGAAAACAAAGTAAGCAAATTAATTGCGTTAATAAAGCGAGTAGTTAGGTCGGTCTATCTTACTGTTGTTATTATCGAGTGTTCATAAAAGTTATGAAGGGCATAGGGGTTTAATTTTCAATTTATCAGTAAAGTATATAGCAGCGGTATCAGCATTTTTTATCTTTAAATGAATATACAATGTTATAATCTATACTAAAATTATAAATAGGAAAGATTCGATTGTTTGTTTGTTTGTATTGAATAAGCTCCGAAACTACTGGATCGATTAGAAAAAATCTATCATGTTTAGAACCCTACATTATCCGTGATGAACAGACCCGTCTTTCCCAGTGTGCACTTTGGGCAAGTGCCCAGGGCCCCGCGATCGATAGGGGGCCCCCACAGATCAAATATAAAGTCCCTAGTTTCTGTTAAATCACCAAACGGAAGTCATAGAGGGGCCCCATTATCCTAATATGCCCAGGGCCTCCAATAGGTCAAAGATGGCACTGGTGATGAACATAGGGTACTTATAGCCTTTGTTCATTATATAATCATTATATAGAGTATTACATATGTCACAACTAGAGTCCTTAGTCACACTAATATTATAAAGGCGAAAATTTGTGAGTG